TGGTGAGGCAGCGCTCCTCTCCAAGGTCGGGAACTTTTCGTCGAGAAAGGGAAAGAAGAAAAGAAGAGAGAACAAAGTCCCAGAAAGGAAAAAGAACGAGACAGGTCTCCAAGAAGAGACATAGAGTGTTCCCCTGAAGAGAAGAGGAAATGTCAGGGATCGCCTCGGCCCTCCACAACTAGAGCTACAACTGAGGTATGCACCCCGACAGCTCACTCCTCTGACTGCTATAGTGTCTCAAATACTGTATGAGGTACAACATGAGAAGTTCTTAAGATGGCCACCCCGGATGAAAGTAGACCTGGCAAAAAGGGATCCTAAGAAGTATGGTGGCTTCCATAGAGACCATGGTCATCACACCGACGACTGTATCCAATTGAAGAAGGAAATAGAATTTCTAATCCAGCGAGGGCAATTGCGGCGCTATATGGCCAATGATAATCAAAACTGAGCTCTCCCACCTCCACCCCCTATGCGTTAAGCACCAGAGCCACACCAGTAACCTATGAGGGAGATTAGAGTGATATCTGGAGGATTTGCCAGAGGAGGAGGTTCCAGCTCTGCCAGAAAAGCCCACTTACGAAAAATCAGAGTCACAGAAGCTCCCAAAGTATATACTGTGTCTAAGTCTCCATTCTTAGACACGGCTATCACTTTCTCAGATTCAAATCTGGAGGGCTACCAACATCCCCATGATGACCATTTGGTGGTAAGAGCTATGGTGGCCAACATGACTGTCTATCGTGTATTGATTGACAATGGCAATTCGGTAGACATTATTTTTGCTTCTACTTTCGATAAAATGGATATAGGAATGGAAAAGCTTGAACCAGTAAGTGCCCACATATTGGGATTCTCAGGAAAAAGGGTGTTACCCCTGGGGTCAATCCAACTCATCTTGACCTTAGGTGACCCACCCTGTCAGACTACAACAACTGTGAAATTCTTAGTGGTTGATGCACATTCAGCATACAATATGCTCCTTGGAAGACCCTCGCTCAATTCTATAAGGGCTATTCCCTCTGCCTATCACCTTGTAGTGAAGTTTCCAACAGAAAACAGAGTTGGAGTGGTCCAAGGAACCCAACGCGTAGCATGGGAATGCTATATGACATCCATAAGAAATAAGGAGGTTGAGAGCATCCAATTGAATGAGCTTGACATGAGAGATGAACTCGAGACCAGACAAACACCATTAGAAGAGCTGGAGCCTGTTCAAATGGATGAGGAGCCAGAGTATCTTGTTTACGTTGGATCCAAGCTGAGCAAGGAGATCAAGGATCTCCTCATCAAATTCCTGAAAAGGAACAAGGAAGTTTTTGCATGGAAGCAAGAGGACATGAAAGAGATTGATCCTTCTGTCATCACTCACAAGCTCAGCGTGAATCCAGCTTGTAAGTCCGTTAAGTAGAAGAGGAGGAGCTTCACCCTGGAGCGTCAGAAAGCCATCAACGAAGAGGTCAGCAAGCTCATTCACGCGAAAGTCATAGAGAAGTGGATTATCCAGTTTGGCTAGTCAATGTAGTCCTAGTCAAGAAGACAAACGGCAAATGACATCTTTGCATTGACTTTACAGACCTCAACCGTGCTTGTCTGAAAGATAGTTTTCTTTACCCGGATAGATTTGATTGTAGATGCCACTGCGGGATATGAGCTCCTCAGCTTCATGGATGCCTTCTCTGGGTACAATCAGATCAGGATGGATCCCAGTGACCAAGAGAAGACCTCATTCATAACTGAGTAAGGAACATACTGCTATCAAGTGATGCCTTTCAGGGTTAAAAAATGCAAGAGCCACTTACCAGCGCCTGGTGAATAAGATGTTTCAAAAACAGATTGGGACCTCCATGGAGGTTTACATTGACGACATGTTGGTCAAATCACTAAAGGTAGAGCTTCACATTGGACACTTAGCAAAGTCGTTTTAGGTCCTGAGAGAATACAAGATGAAGCTCAACCCAGTTAAGTGCGCCTTTGGGGTGTCAGCAGGAAAATTTCTGGGCTTCATAGTTAATAGCAGATGGATAGAGGCTAACCTAGAAAAGGTAAAAGCAGTGTTGGATTTGTAGTCTTCCTCCAACACGAGGGAAATACAACATTTAACCGGGAGAATAGCTGCCCTGAGTCGTTTCATTTTCAGATCAAGCGACAAGTCTCAACCCTTCTTTTAAGTCTTAAAGAAAGCCTTTCAATGGGATGCCCGGTGTGAAGAAGTTTTCAAACCATTGAAAGAATACTTGAGCTCCCCACTTGTCTTGGTAAGTCCGTTAGAAGGAGAAGTACTTACCCTTTACCTAGCTATCTCAGAGTTCTCAACTAGTGTAGCGCTAGTAAGGGAGAAGGACAGAGCTTAACAACCAGTTTATTACTGCAGCAGAGCTCTGAGGGGGGCAGAAGAAAGATATCCTAAAATGAAAAAACTCCTTTTAGCCTTAGTGACAACCGCCAGGAGACTTAGACCCTACTTTCAGGCTCACACTATCGAAGTTCCAACAGATTAACCTATGAAGCAGGTGCTGCACAAGCCAGAATCTTTGAGGAGACTGGTTAAATGAGTCATTGAACTTAGTGAGTTTGACATCAGGTATAAGCCAAGGACAGCCATTAAGGGGCAAATATTGGCAAATTTCATTGTAGAATTCACAACTGAAATACCTGCAGAGACAACGCAGTTAGTACTTGACCTTCACACGTGGAAACTTTCGGTAGATGGAGCTGTCAATGCTCAGGGCAGCGGAACTGGTTTGATTTTGACATCCCCCGATGAGATAGGTGTTGAAAACGCACTGAGATTTGGATTCAAAGCTTCAAACAACGAAGCCGAGTATGAGACAGTCATAGTAGGGCTCAGCTTAGCTCATTCAATGGAAGCCGAGCAACTAGAGATCTGCAGTGACTCACAACTCGTGGTAAAACAGATAGAGGGTGCTTACGAGGCTAAGGGTGAGAAGATGACCCTTTATCTTAGAAAGGTGCAAGAATTAATCAAGAAATTTGTGCAAGTCAAGATCAGACATGTCCCTAGAACTGAAAATTTGAGAGCAGACGTTTTGGCAAGATTGGCAACAGCTTCACAAGAAAATCTGGACAGGTTGATCCCCGTGGAGCATCTGGCGGAACCATCCGTTAGTGTTGAAGATGAAGAAGTGCTCCCCATATAGAATCCACCAAGCTGGATGGACCCCATCTTGGAGTATCTCCAAAAGGAAGCCCTGCCAGAAGACCCCAAGGAGGCTGCAAAGTTAAGAACCAAGTCTGCTAGATTCTCCATTCCGCAGGGAAGCTTGTATAAGCGAGGTTTTTCAACTCCACTCCTTAAATGCGTGGGAGATGAAGACGCCAACTACATACTCAGAGAAATCTACGGGGGAGTCTGTGGCAATCATATTGGGGCACGGGCTTTGGCAGGAAAGACTCTAAGGCAGGGGTATTATTGGCCACTTTGCTCAAGGACGCAACAGACCTGGTCAAGAAATGCAAGGCTTGCCAGATGCATGCCAACATCCCTCACTGCCCACCAGAGTTCCTGACCTCAGTAATAAGCCCTTGGCCATTCCAACAGTGGGGTCTAGATATACTAGGACCTCTTCCCACTGGTGTAGGACAATGCAAGTTTGCCATTATAGGGGTGGATTACTTTACCAAGTGGGCAGAGGTGGAGCCCTTAGCAACCATTACAGAACAAAAGGTTCAGAATTTTACTTGAAAATTCATAATCTGTCGATTTGGGATCCCCAAAGCAATTGTGTCAGATAATGGGAAGCAGTTTGACAACCCGAAGTTCAAAAACTTCTGTGCCGAGCTCGAAATAAAGAATTACTTCTCTGTCCCAGCTCATCCCCAGTCCAATGGACAAGCAGAAGTCACCATCAGGACTTTAAAGTCCGCCCTGAAGACCAAGTTGGAAAGTCTGAAGGGCAAGTGTGTAGAACACCTCCCAGAAGTGCTATGGGCTACAGGACAACTACCAGGTCAGCAACACAAGAGACTCCATTTGCTTTAGCTTTCGGTTCCGAAGTAGTGGCGCTTGTCGAAGTTGGGCTCCCTTCACTTAGAACAGAATTAGCAAATGAGAAAAATAATGATAATTCCCTTTTGCTAAGTTTGGATCTGTTGGAAGAAAAGAGGGAGGCAGCACTGAACAACATAAAGAACTACCAAAGGAAAACAGCTAGGTACTACGACAGGAGGTCAAGCATAGGAGTTTCAAGGTCAGAGATTTGGTGTTGAGGAAGCTTCTGCTGGCAAGAAAGGATCCCACTCATGGGAAACTGGGGCCTAACTGGGAAGGTCCATACATAGTCTCTTGAGTAATTAGACTAGGAAATTATGAGTTACAAATGGAAGAAGGGAAAGTCCTGCCCCATTCATGGAATGCAGAACATCTAAGGAAATTTTTTCAATAAGTTTATCTTGTATTATGAACCATTGTTAAAAAAAAAAGTAGCAATTCTGTGATTCATCTATCCTTATGAGCACGCAAAAAAAAAAAAAAGAGCCTTAAAGCTCACGATGAACTCGTTAGTTCATAACAAGAGCCTTAGAGCTCACGATGAACTCATTAGTTCATAGAAAGAGCCTTAGAGCTCACGATGAACTCATTAGTTCATAACAAGAGCCTTAGAGCTCACGATGAACTCATTAGTTCATAACAAGAGCCTTAGAGCTCACGATGAACTCATTAGTTCATAACAAGAGCCTTAGAGCTCACGATAAACTCATTAGTTCATAGAAAGAGCCTTAGAGCTCACGACGAACTCATCAGTTCATAACAAGAGCCTTAGAGCTCACGATAAACTCATTAGTTCATAACAAGAGCCTTAGAGCTCACGATGAACTTATTAGTTTATAAAAAAAAAAGCCATGGAACTCACGGAGAACTCACCTATTCATGAGAAGAGCTCAAGAACTCGGGATGAACTCATTGGTCCATGCAAATATGGGAAAATTGAGGTTTCCAGAACATCTGCTGTTACATGGGTACAATCAAAGCAAAATTTCTAGTCGTCTCTCCAACTCAGTGACCCCTCCTTCAGACGAAGGTTCTCCTCTTTCAGCTCATCCCTTTCCTTCTCAACTGATGACAGAAGATCCATCAGCTTTTGCCCAGTAATGGAGAATAGAACTTCCCCCAGGCCAGAATCGGAGGTAGGGGAGGAAGAACCATCCCTCTTACGCCTCTTCGAAGGAACTCCAATGTCTTCACTTTTATCAGACTCTGAAGAAAAAGAGTCGGGTTCAGGAAAAAAAGGAAAGTCTTGTTCAGCCGCTGCAGCACTAAATAAGAACAGATTGTCTAGTGTCATGAGCTCAAAAAAAGACATAGGCTCAGCTTGGGTCATTAGTTCCACCCTCATCAATTCAAGTGAGTCCAGATCAGGAACACCTGCATACCAAGAAACAAGATAAGTAGAGAACATCATAAAATTTGATCCCAATAGAGAGATCCTCATCGCTTTCACCTGGGTAAGAATAGTTCTTCTAGGACCGAGGGACTCTGCACTCTCTAGTGCCCCACCTCGGAAGACCTCCACGAGTCACTTGAAATAAAAAATAAGCGCTGAGCCCATCCTGAAGGAAGGGAGGGGAGACCAAACACTAAACGGCGAAGCCAGAAATCTCTCCACCGGAAGCAGACGAAGCATGGAACTTCATCCTCCTCAAGGGTAAAAAAGTGGAGAAACTCGACAACCATAGGAAACTCGCCATTACCTCGCAGACGCTAGAAGAGGAAGAAACTGGTCATGACAGCCCATCCCATGGGTGAAAGACGAGAGGGACACAAGCCAATATAGGCCAAAATAAATCCAATAGAAGGATGAATGGAAGACATAGACTTAACTCCAAAGCTGCTTCAAAGAAACACGTCTCCCCAGGAGGAAGGTAATTACATGGTTCATCGGAGCTTGGAGCACGTAGAGGTAACTCCAAATCAAGAAAGAATTTCTTCCTTATCCTCTCTAAATCGAAGGACGTCACCACTGAGGGAACAAAGTAGCGAGTATGTCACATCCACTCAACCCCAAAGGAGGTTCGTTTTGAAAACAGAGCAGAAAATGGGGTAGACATAGTGAATTCAGGCGAAAAAGAAGAAAGGGAACTATAAGGATTATGCCCTCAAGAATAACAAAGGGATACCCGGAGGGAAGTGATAGCCAGTACTTATAGAAATCTTTGAAGATCCCAGATTTTTAGGAAGTTGTTAATTACACGAAACCTTAAGTCGGTGGGTCTCTAGGTTTCCAAATTAAGGAAGTAGGAACCTTTTTGGTAAGAAGGATATGCATTGAAAGTAGACATCAACGACATCCCGAGATAAAACAAGTAGACCTCCAAGGAGAGGTCCAGAGCATAAAAGAAAGGTCAAAACAAAACCTTACACATCGGGAGGTCAGCAAGTCAGAAATGAGGTAGTCAATGCACTCAAGCAGTTGCATCTAGGCATGCTCTTCCAGGTTGTCACCTTGCATGTGGTACATGGTAGTTTAGGACCTCGGCACATCGGAACCACTGGACAGAGCATGATTGTAAGCACTTCACTTCACCTAATCAGATCGACTGAACTCATGAGCAGAAAAGAGAACCTGGCCAATGGCTACATGTGCACATGTCTCCTAAGGTTTACCAAAGGGTCCCCTCAAGCCAGCTTAGAGGTTATTTAGCCCTGGTGCAAGTAAGCATTTTGCTAACCTGCTGTACATGGGAATGATGAACCCTCATACTGGGGTGAGAAGGAAAGTTCTTCTTCATTCCAACATCATAAATCCTGACCTTCGAATCTATTTTATTCAAGGTCAGCTATGCAGGTCATCAAATGGAAGCTCTTTAAGGGTAATACTTCAAGTACTCATTGTCTTATATTTCAAACAGCTAAAAACTAGACCCCTACCGTGTATGCTAAAATGGTCATGCAAATTTCCTATCCATTTGCTGAGAGAGGGAAAGGGTTGAAAAGATTGTATTACGCAGTAGAAGTTACATAGTTACATTCTGGTTTAAAATTGTCACAACCATAAGTTGATAAGTTTAAAAAACTAGCTTCATATCCTAAATATTTGAGGATGAAGTAAGGTCAGAGCTCTGGTGGTCAGTTGCTGGAGTTCGGACAGAAGCAGGTTGAGAAGCTGAAAGCTCAGCGAGGCACATTAGCAGTTATTCCTAACCTTTTTCTGTAAGGAGATCTGAATGACCCCTTGAAGCAAAAGGGGACAAGAGTTTAGGAATATCATATTCGACTGATGGTAGAGTAGAGCAACAAATTAAAAGCAAAGGAAAATAAGGAGAGCTATAAGCTGTAAATTAAAGATACAAAATGCTACAATTCTGAAATTTTCGTTTCAAAATGTTACAATTCTGAGATAATTAGCCCAAAGCTACAAATCTTAAGTTTTTGAAGGGAGAGTAGATGAAGGGCCTTGCAGTGCAGTAGCTGATGTCTCAACATGAGGAATGGAAGAAGGGCTCTCCAGCTCAACAGACGACCTCTCTGGCACAACAACAGTTGAAGTTTCATGAGGGCCAAGAGCAGGCAAAGAGGCAGGGACCTCAGATTCAACCAAGGCTCTTGTGGCCAGCTCAGTAGGGAGGGAAGAAGCAGGCTCAGCAGCCAGGGGAGTAGAGATGCCTAAGGAGGCAGAAGCATCTTGAGCTGAAGTCCCAACTAGAGGAATGAGCCCTCCAGAGTCTATGGGCACATCTTTGAAAATAGGAGGAGCAAAAGCATCATCCTCTTCTTCATCAGACCCCTCGGCCTCTTCCTCAGGGGGAATTAAAAAGTCAAAGTTCAGTTCAAGGTAAGTCCTTTCAGCTATACCCTGGAAATCAATCCACCATTTTTCCCACCTGGTGAGAACGTCATCCTCTAGTTGGGCAATCAGCTTATCCTTTTTGCGGATGGTAGTGTCTCACACCTCCAGCGCCTCCCTAGCAGCCCCTAACTCCTCCCTGACAGCATCATTGGCCTCTGCTAGCACCTCGTACTCCTTCTTCATGTTCCTGAAGAAAGCCAGAGCATCAAGGGACTTCCGGCTCTCCTCGATCCAGTCATCAATTTTTGACCAGAGGTCTTCCTTAGTCTTGCTGAGCTCCTCTTGTCTGGACTTGGCAAGGGAAGACTACTGGTCCACTTGCTCTTGTAACTCCTTTACCTGGACCTTAAGGTCATTATTCTCAAAGGCCAGATTGGCACACTTCATCTCAAAAGCTTTGGAAGCATTGGCCGACCCCTCCAGGGCTTGGATTCGCTTTAACAAGCTACTTATTTGAATGGCGGTCTGAAGACAAGCATGAAAGATTAGTGTAAAGGGAAGAGCGTAGGACAACCAAAGGAAAAAAAAGGAGAATTTGACAAATTAGAATCTCACCGAGGTACAGCCATACAACGCAGTGGAAACACAGGTTTCTAGGGGTACAAAAGTGGTCGCATCAATGTCAGACTCTGGGATAATGGAGGCAATGGCCTCTACAACATGCTTCACATCGGTAATAAGAGAATTCTCAGATTTTGAAAAGACCCCTTTGCCTGTCATAAGAGGTTGGGAGGTCTCCTTGGTTGATGCAAAAGCAACACAACCAGAAAAAGTGCGAGCAGTCTCCAAGGCCCTCTCAACTTCAGATGCAGAAGGGGAGGACTGGTCTCGCCCAGGAGCATCTTCAGTGGCAGGTCGGGTCCCTTGGGGGAAAGGAAGTCCTGAGGTTAGCGAAGCATGTAGGGGGGATGGTGGAGCTTTCTGGATAGAGGCAAAGGCAGAGGAAGTACCCATTTTCTGAACCTTAGCTCGAGTAACTAGGCTCCCACCAAAACTGCCCTCAGCCTTGCGCTTGGTACCACCCTTGTTTTTCTTCTTCAATAGCTCTACCTTAGCTTGGAGCATCTCAGGGGTAGGCTTCATTGTAGAAGACCCTAGGAGATTTGGCTTGAGCTAGTTAGTCAAAAGGAAAAAGAAAGGGAGGAAAGTAATGAAACCAAATGAGGGAAAGAGTATTACCTTCTATGTCCTTAGGTTGGATAAAGGAAAGTGGGATTGGAGGAGGGTCGAATCCCTGCCTTTCTAATTCCCAAGGCTTAAGGAGCTTAGAGTACCTCTCTGGATTACACTTAGCCAACTTCAGTTTCACCCGCTTGTCCTCGACGCTGAGTTCAGGTCGAATGCCTAAAAAAGGGGGAACACCAAAGATGTAGAGGTCAGGAAAGTAATTCATAAATCTTCAAACTGTAGTTCAGTCAGGCAAGAACTCACCTAAGTTATCTGGGGCTGACCAGGCTCTAGGAATCCCAAGAGTGTCTGCTTTATCAGCAGGTTTGTATTCCCAGTTGACACCCCCAACGAAAAAGAAATTATTTTTTTAGCCTTTATGAGAACTCGGGAAGTGTGTGATGATCTGCCTAGACAAGGTCCGCCTAGAAACATATAGAAAGCCCTCAGTTGAGGTAAGCTTGACATTGAAAAGGTCCATAAGCAGAGAAATGGTGGGAGTCCCAAGCCCGTGCTTCTTAAAGAAAACTAAAAGACCCACTAAAATACCCCAGAAGTTAGGAGAAAGCTGAGCAGGGCAGACATTGAGGTGCTGCAGAACATTTTTGATGAAGGGGTGCATAGGGAAACGAAGGCCATTCTCGAAAGTGGTCACAAAGAAACAAACTCTTTTGTGCACTTGGGCAATGTATAGGGTGAGTTTATCCAGACACTAGGGATGAACACTATAATAAAAATCAAAACGAGCACTAAGAGCTTCCATGAGAATAGGATCCACCCCATTGGGACCTACAAGCGCAGCATGCCTGAAGGCAGCCTCCATACCTGCTGTACTATCAGGAATCCCAACCTCACTCACCTTGCCCTTACCCTTGTCAGCACTAGGAGGTACATGAGAGGAAGATGAGGGGAGTTCCTTAGAGTCCACCTCGGTATCGACAGCCTCAACACTGGGGAAATTGTCAATCTCATCATCTGCATCCCCTAAATTAGAATCTGTCTCGGCAGACCTGTCGCCTAGGAGGGAAACAGAGGAGGGAGTTGCTCCAGAGGAGAGTTGCTCCAGAGGAGGCAGACATGATTGGCAAAGAGAAAGGCAAATCGAAAAAATTATAAAAAGGAGGAATACTAACTAAACACCCCTTGATATTCCTAGGGTCAGCACTGTACCTCCCGACAATAAGAATTTGCATAATGGAGTTCCAATCCACAAAGCGGGGAAGAGGAGATAGGCAACAATCATGATTCCAAAAGAAAAAGAATCGAAAAACCCAGAAAAACAATGGCCACCTCGAAGTCGAGGGATCCAAAGTGAGGAAAGGCAAGAGAAAGAGAAAGGGGCAGAAGGAAGCGTACCTAGACAGGGAAGAGAGTAACAAACAGCAGCCAAAGAAAATATTGGGGGAGAAGAGCAAAGTAGGACTTCGAGTCGAACCCAGAAAACACAATTTTGAGCAGAGAATAAAAGAATTACGTGGAGGAAAGCCCAGAAATCGCAGAGAGAAAGAGTCAGAGACAAAGGTGAACAGTGTAGAAGATGAACAGGGAGTTTTGAGTGGTTTTTGAGCATCCGATTGAGCATTTAAAGCTTGAGTGACGTGGGCTGAAATATGCACGAAAATCGAGGAAGCCATGATTGCTGTAAATCGTCAAAGAGCCCCCCCCACGTCCATCTCACATGTGGACTAAGGTCAACTAGGTTCAGGCCTGGTCCAATGCGAAAGCAGCTCAGCCCATGCCCAAGCTCGCTTGGGCCTAGGGCTGAGGGGTAACTGATGATGCCTAAAGTAAATCTCAAGTGTTAGCTCAGGAGTTCAGCTCAGACCGAGAGATTAGCCATATTAACTGAGGTCAGAAGGCAAGGGCTGAATGTCTCTTGAGGCAAGGCAACGGCTGGATAAACACGAGAGGTTCCTAAAGCGTGAGGAAGCTATAATCAAGGCACCTAATCTCAACCAACCAAGATCTTCTCCTAAAATTAAAGAAAACCCCACGAAATAAGGACAAGAATCTCGGCCAAGATCCCACTGAATAGGGAACAGCCCTATAAATACTATGTAACGCCCCCAAGGAAAAGGCATGACCCTAGAGGTAAAAACTAGTCATTGTACTCTTGTAATCATCATTATTGAAAGTCAAGGAGTAAGAGTCTTCATTAAAGAGTGGATTAGCCGAGCTCCCGAGCTAATGAACCACTATACTTCTTCTATGTTAATCCTCCCAGCCCTAGAAAAACATTTCTTTTATTATCACACCACCATCACTGCAAAACATAATTACAATTCATTACTCATACAATTCGGTTTACACCATCAAAGAGGAATGTTAGTGACCGTTGAATGAGTCTACTTTAAACCATCAGATAGACTTATTGAAGTCTGTCTTGTTTTATATTATAACATGGTGAATGTGTGTTTGTGAGAGAGACTTGAGAAGCTATGGATAGATCACATTGCTGTGGGAGGGAGGGAGAGAGAGAAAGAGAAAGAGAGAGAGTGATTTATCTTGTATAGCTTCATTTGAATTTGATATTTACAGCATGAAACTGGGGATGCAGGGCATTATGTTGGCACTGCATAGACACCAGCAAAAGAACAATGGAAAGAGACAAATTTTTATTTTTGTTATTCAGTTTGTTGCTGATATGATTTCATTTACGTGACTTTATTTTATTTTTAAGGTTTAATGGTAACTAAAATTTATTTCATGTCTTTTAAATATTAAAACTCACACTTAATTTGTAGGCCTAATTTGAAAATTCAATAAATCAAGTCATTAGATTAGCGGTGAATACTATTTATATTAATAAGATCAGTTGCTATTTTTTTTACTAATCTAATAGTAAAAATTATATTTCAATAGCATTGTGTATTTCTTTTATTAAAAATTACAGTTAGACCCCTAAACTATGCATCTCACTTAACATTGTCTCATTTCTTAATTTACTTCTAATTTTTCATGAAAATCAAAGCAAAAATGGAAGTCCTTTATATTAGAGGATGTGGTCTTTGTCTCTTCAGCTTGATAAAATTTTATTTTTATCCTGATTTATTGTAAAAAATTAAACAAGAAATTAACTATGAATGTTGTTAAACATATGAAATAGCTTAAATTCTTAGAGGTGATTTAGTGGTTAAGTTTGACCTTTGGTAATTGAAAAGTTTTATGTTCAATTCATTTCCATAACTCTCTAAGGACCAGTCATCTGACTTAGTTCAAGTTACAACGAAAATCATTGAACTCAAGGAAATAGTCAGTATAAGTCCGAAAACATTAACAAAAAAAAATTGACATTTAGTCCGCTACACAAGATGGTATGTGGGACCTACAAACAACTTCGTAGAAGTGTTGGCTGGCTTGTTTCGTAAAGGGTAAATATTAAATGCAACAATGACACAACGTCCACATCAAATTGGTACCCCGATGAATAGAAGTGTCTAATTTAAACTAAAAATAGAGTGGTTATTCGGATAGTAATTTGCACTACTCTTTGATTTCGTGGTTTGAGTAGTTCCTTCGATTTGAGCAAGATTTGTCAGGACTACAACAATGTAGAGACCGAAGTTATAGTCGAAATTGCAGCTTTATAAAATTGTTGATGATTTTACTATAGTGATGAAACTCCCCCTAAATAACAAGATGGGACAAAATAAGAACTTTTTTTTTCACCAGATTTTTTTTTGCCTTTTTTTATTTCGTCTCCAACGAAACCAATTACTTGTTGAGATTTTTCTCCTCCCTCTTGAATTAAAACAAGGGCACTGTTACACTCTAGAGAACATAAAACTTGACTAAGGGACAAATGTTCGACATACTATATGTTATTAAATATACTTGGTTACATGAGATTCAACCCTATTTATAAGATGACAATTATATAATAAAAATAAAATATTGAAAGTTTATCATCATGTACACTTATCCTATAAATTGTGATAAATCTCTTAGATTCTATCATCATATCCTAATCCTAATCATGTAGATAGTAATTGATGGCGTGAATTCATGTGGATGAGCAGAGGGAATGAATAGTACCTGGTGACCTAGAACTGAGCTACAAGGCTCGTGAGAATCGAGTAGAAATTGCTGAGAAATTGGGGGATATTGCACAGTGAAATTATAGTGGTTTACCGGCTTGGGAGCTCGGCTAGTCCACTCTTCAATGGAGAATCTTATTCCTTTTGTTTCAGTAATGAGGGATGCAGTTTACAATCGACCTCTGGTTCTCCTAGGGTTACTATTTTTTCTCTCTTCTTTACTGGAGGCGTCATACAATATTTATAGAGCAGCTCCTAGTTTCGTGGGATTTGCACATAAATCCTTGCCATTTATCTGGGGGATCCTCCATGATTTTTGGGAGAGGATCTTGGCTATTTGGGGATTTTTTTGCCTTGAATACGATTCTTTGCCGCCTGTAGGGTTTCTACTACTATCCCGTGTCCTCTCTACTAATATCTAGTTGTTCTCTCATCTTTTCCGCTATTGTCTTGCTTGGAGGGAGCTCTAACTCTGATCCTCTAAGCTCTGCGTGACTTATCTGACCTCCTTGTCCAACCTCTTTGCTTGAGCTCATACTTAGAAGTTTTCATAGGGTATCATCAGTTGCCCCCCAGCTCTTGGTTAAGCTGGCTTGGGCAAGGGCTGAGCTCAAACTTAGACAAATTAGACCTTTATTAGGCGTCCGTGATATCTATGCGAACATACTTCTAGCGGTTCTCGTCAATCATTTCTCTTCTTGTTTCTTTTGCGCATTGTCCTTTTTGAACCCCTTTGTACCGTTAGCTTTAAATACTCCTAGACCGACAGTCTGCCCCTCACTCTTCAACTTCTCTTTGGCTTGTTTTCCCTTTGTTTCCTTGCGATTTCTTCGTCCCCGATTTGCAATCGTTCTTAGGGTTTTTCATGGAGACAATTTCCTCTAATTTGATCTGAAGGCTTAGCGAGGCTTGTTTTTAGATTTCCTCTAATTTGCAATCGTTCTTAGGGCATCGTTGATCTTTGTCTAGGCTTAGCGAGGCTTGTTTGGACCTTTCGGTTATGCTATTTTAGGAATCGAAATCTTTCTCTATCTTGCATTCCCCTCTTCTTAGACCCTTATTCTACAGCTAGGATTTTCGTTATAGGTTGTTGGTGTCTTGCCCCCCTAACTCTCAGAGAGTGTTTCTCAGAGGTTCTCCCACTTTACAGGTCTTTTAGGTTCCCTTTTTCTAACCCAACTATGTCCACTTCGTCTGAGGCTACGAGTTCATCCATTTCTCTGATGAAAGACAGATTTGTTGAGACGGATTGTGATCTCGGAGACGTGGGGTAGGAAATTGATGACTTCCCCTAGGGTGGATTTTACTGAAGTCAGGGGAGGTTCTGAGGCACCTCCTTTGCCATCCTTTCCAGCTCTTAAAGCCCCCAACAAGGGCAAAACCAAAGTGAGCAGTGTTGGGATTTTTGGCAATGTCAAAGGTGGAGGTCCTGCTCCTAGGGTTACTGAGCTCGTGGGTCTTAGTGACCTCGTTCCTTCTTATTTGAAGGTTTTATCAGGTCGTTTTGGATTTCCCCAAGGTGTCCAATTCTGGAGTCCAAACATGTACACTCGATATGATTCTTCCATTCCCAAGAAAATCTGTTTCTTCATGGCCGCCTTTGAGAATGGACACTACTTTCCCATGCATCCCTCTATCAAGGGTGTTTTGCAGCATTTCAATGTCTGCCCTACTCAGCTCTCTCCTAAAATTTTGGGGTGTGTTGGTGGGGCTCCTTGTTTTCTTCAAAAAATACAATATTGGGGTCCCCACTATTCCTTTGCTTATGAAATTTTTCAATGCCAAGTACACTCCTTCTGACGGTTTTCTGTATATCTCCAAGCGTGTGAAAATCAAAATTCTTATCTCTGACCTCCCGAGCTCCCACAAAAGTTGGAAGAAACTTTTTTTTTTTCATGTGGGGGAGAGCCTGGGAGTTCAACTCTAATGATGTGACTGATACTCTTCCCATTCCTCGGGTTGGTCTGCCCCAGATAACTTGTGTGAACCTTTTCTTGAGCAAGTTAGGATAATCCTTAGTATCCTTCTTGGCTGACTGGTTTTGTTTTTCAGGCATCAGACCAGAACTTAGTGTTGCAGACGAGCGAGTTTTAAGGAGCTTGGCCAACTGTAATTCAGAAAAATATTCAGAGCTCCTTCAGCCCCAAGTTCTTGTAGAGCTTGGATTCAACCCTCGTGAGGTGAAGATTGAGAATCCCATTCCCCT